TAGAGTAGAGTAGAGTAGAGTAGAGTAGAGTAGAGTAGAGTAGAGTAGAGTAGAGTAGAGTAGAATTCTTTATTGACCAAGTGCTATTCGACACACAAGGAATTTTTTTCCCGGTGCAGAAGCCCTCTGTGTATATGCAAAGCAACAGAGTGGATACTAGTGCCGCTCCTATTATTATTAATAATGATTCATTCGTTGATATTGCAGTATCACGTGACGTGCGACTGGAAGACAAATAGCTAGGGGGAAAAATATATAATGAAATATCGCAATTTGCAAATTGAAGTTGAATGACCGTGGAGGAAGAAAGCAATGGTTGTACCAATAGTAGTAGGAGCTCTTGGAGCAATTATCCAAAGGGCTGCTTAGATACATGGAAATTTGGCACTAATTAGACCTGAATATTTTGACTTTGGAAAAAGAACACTTTACTCAGTACTACCTAAGTTCTCAGATGCTTCCTTAATAGTTCCTTAGGTCCTTGGTTAGGACTTGAACTGTTAGGTTTTTACCAGTCACAGACTGTGAATTGAAAATTAAATCATCATCAACAACAACAATAATAATAAACATACATTTTAAGAAGATACTTGGTTGATACCTAGGATGCTGGCAGCAACCTGTATAAACCATCAGAGCCAGTCCATGTATATTAATACTTGGATTATACAAGTTATTAATATAACAACATTATTGATGTTCGTATCAAAATGAATAAAAGCCACACTGTTCCTCTATTGATATTGATGTATATTTAAAAATAAAAATCTAATCAAACATTTAAAAAAAACCATCAAAGCCAGTCAATTATCTTTGTGATACATTTTTAAATGTTCAGTTGACTGAGTTTCATGCTTAATGAATAAAAGTTTATTATTATTAATTATTATTAGTAATCCCTATCAACTAGTATCAACCATCAAAGTCAGTCAGTGATCTTTGTGATACATTTTTAAATGTTCAGTTGACTGAGTTTTATGTTTAATGAATGAAAGATTATTATTAATTAATTATTATTAGCAATCCCTGTCAACCCATATCAACCATCAAAGCCAGTCAATATTTGTGATACACTTGTAAATGTTCAGTTGACTTGAGTTTCATGTTTAATGAATGAAAGATTTTTATTAATTATTATTAGCAATCCCTATCAATCCGTCTCAACCATCAAAGCCAGTCAATGATATTTGTGATACATTTTTAAATGTTCAATTGACTTGAGTTTCATGTTTAATGAATAAAAGTTTATAATAACAATAATAATACCAATAGAAGTGGGAAGCATAGAAGATAAGACAAATAATGCTTCAGCCACACTATATGGGTTAACATTAATTGCCATTTGAGCAATAAATAACTTTCCTTCAAGGATGTGCTTTGGCAGTAATGTCTGGAATCCAATCAGACCACGATGACATTGATTGATGTAGCCATCCAGTGTGTACTCAACCCCAATAACCCAAAATCGTGCCTTTTACAAAAGATCCAGCATCTGAAAACTAACCTCAGTTAACACTAGGCTGAGGTAGCTTGTTGGGTGTCAAAACAAAGGCGCGATTTGTCCCAACTTCGTTGTGTGAACAGAGTTGTGGGTTAAAAAAAACAAGGTAGAAGGAATTCCTGTCTGTCAAGTACAAGAATTCGTTTGGAACAAATTGCCTCGGGAAATTGTGGGTGCCTCATCACCAGAGGCTTTTATAAAGAGACTGGATGGCCATTTATCAGAAATAGGGTCTCGCGCAAGAGCGGGGGGGGGGGTTGGGTTGGACTAGATGACCTCCAAATTCCCTCCCAAGTCTTGTTACTGTGGAAGTGGTGGGTGCCTCATCACCGGAGGCTTTTAAAAAGAGACCGGATGCCCATTTATTAGAAACAGTATAGACCATATACAAGAGCAGGGGGGGTTGGACTAGATGACCTCCTAGATCCCTTCCAACTCTTGTTCCTGTTACCGAGAGAGGCTGAATCCGTGTTTTTATGACCCCCCCGACAGGTGATGATGAAGACGACGACTCGGGCGAGGACCGTCTTCCTTCCTGCTTCGACTACATCATGCATTTCCTCACCGTCTTCTGGAAAGTTCTCTTCGCCTTCGTGCCGCCCACCGAGTATTGGTGTGGCTGGGCTTGCTTCCTGGTCTCAATCTGCCTTATCGGGGTGCTCACCGCCCTCACTGGGGACCTGGCCTCTCACTTCGGCTGCACCATCGGCCTCAAGGACTCAGTCACGGCGGTGGTGTTCGTGGCGCTGGGTACCTCCGTGCCCGGTCAGTGACGCGTGGGAGAGGGCCTTAAAACACACAGATATGTGCGTGCGCGCGCACATACACACACACACAGCCACACAAGGGTCCAGACGGGTGGCGTCAGATATGCTGCATTCTTCTGAGAAGAATATAGAATGGAGTGGAGTGGGAATGGAATTGGAATTGGAATTGGAATAGGATAGAGAATTAGAATAAAATAGAGAAATAGAATAGTATAGAATAGTATAGTATAGTATAGAATAGAATAGAATAGAATAGAATAGAATAGAATAGAATAGAACAGAGGATGAGAATTAGAATAGAAT